TTTTCTGCTGGCAATTCAAAATCTATATCCAGCTCTAAAAGCACCAGTTATTACTTAAACTGCGCCGCAAATTGTGGAATTGAGGTGCAAGAAAGGCGAGCGCCTGCATTCTCTCAAGATGTCTGCCCCATGAACCCATGGCAGACCAGAAGCTCTCCCAGGGACATACAGTTGTCTAAATGATATGTACCATCTAATAACCCCACAGTGCCACGCAGAGCTAACGCTCACCTCTGTGCCCAGAGTCTGCGTGGGAGAGGGCTGGGGTTGTTTGCTTTGCCTGTGGGGCCGGGTGTGACCTGGGTTTAATCACTCTTTAGCCACAGAGAAGCATTAAAAGTGTGCAGCTTGGATTTCAGAGCTTTGCTGTGAAGAAAAAGGGAGGGAAGACATGGGCAGGGTGGTGGAGGGAGGGTGTTCCTTCTGGGGAAGGGGGTGACAGTGACAGCTACACTCCAGCTTGTGGGTTCATTTCCTTTCCTCTAGTCTTGGTGGTGACCCCTGCAGCACCCTTAACAGTACTCTGCATAGGCTTGCACCTTCCTCCTGTGATAGCACTGGAGCCCAGAGGAGACTTCCCCTGCTAATCCCGGATCTAGACATTTGAAGCTAGGAACGGCCATAATTAAAAGAATGCTCCTCACTTTAGGCATCAAGGTCCCTGTCTCCAGCCCCACCCCGCTGCCTCTCCCCAGACACTTCTGAGTTAGTCACAGTGTAAGTGGGACTCCTTTATGAATGCCATGTGAGGCGCTAAGACACGGGCATAGAGAAAATAGAGAATGTAGTGTTATCTTATCACTCTTAATGCATTCACCAGAGAGTGACTTCGCTCGCCCATGGCTCCTTTACTCTTTCTTTCATCATTTATTTGTGTATGTGGTTGTGCACATGTACAGAGATCAAAGGGCAGACAGTTTGTGGATTCTAGGAATGGAGCTCAGATTGTGAGGCTTAACAGTAAGCCCTGATGCTGGCTGAACTGTCTCACCAGCCTTCCTCCAACTTTCAGGCCAGATGTGAGTGTGTGATGAGGTAGTTTGTACTGGGGAAGAGGAAGGGCTCCCTTTCCAATAAGTGTAATTGCAACCAGGAGAAATGCCTTGGGCCCATTTTCCTTCCTTGACCTTTGCCTCCTAATAATACACGGACAGAAGTCATTGTCTTGAGGGACTTGGATGTGACATTTGCTGTCACTGTGCATGTTTGCATTGCAGACAAAGCAGCCTTATCATAAGAGCTTTCCCTTGCTCTTGTGCTCCAGTGAACTACTTCCCAGAGTACCGTGTGCCAGGGCCAGCTCTGCTTCTGGCCAGGGTCTCATCAGTCTCATAGGATGACATCTGTCCTCAAGGCCCTTTGGGTTTTCAGGATTCAGGTGGAAGGAGGTAGACTTCTTTCACTTTATGTTGTTTGTCTGTGATGCCAAGAAGATTTGCCTAAAAATACTGATTTGTCTTATGGTCCAGGACTCCTTGCACAGAGAGCCAATCATGCCTGCATGATGGACTGGAACTATTCACAGTGAGCAGGACATACACCTGACTGGACCTAGTCCCCAAGTCACAGGGGCTCATGATACTATTTTTAAAATGCTAGAGGTGCTCTCTCTCTCTCTCTCTTTTCTTGCTTCCAGTGCCAGAGAGAGAATCGAGGGACTCAGGCATATGAGGCAAATGCTGTACTACTGAGCCACCATCACTCTGCCCCCAATGCTAAAATTTTAAAGTGTGTGTTCAGCATGTGCCTTCAGGTCTGGGTTAGTTGGAGCCGTCTTGGGTTATCTGGGGAGTAGGTAGGGTGGGGACTTGATTCTTCTCTCCATAAATCAAGAGGTTGCCCAGGAAAGGCCTCTGTGCACGGGTCTCTCTTAGGGTTTCTAGAATCCTGTTACCATGTGCAACGTTTAAGCTTGTTAAGGAAGTTTTTAAATACACCCAAGTGGAGGTGAGGTCAACAGCCTGAGTGTGGCTGTGGTAGCCATCTGCATGTCCACCTTTCTGCCTCTGCTGACTGACACCCCTTCCTCTCCTGGAGCCCTGCAGGTGGGCCCAGAATGCACAAAGCTCGCCTGGCAGTGTTGGACAGCAGTGACTTCCCTGTTCTCAGTTTATGGTTGTTGCTCCTTCCTGGTTCTTTGGGTAAGAGGAAGAAGCCGTCTTCTTTTCCTTGCAGAGAGCTGATAGGGAACTTTCAAACAGCTTTATCCTGTGCTTGGTGACCGTGCCACTCAGCTGGGTTGGGCACTACCTTGGGTCCTTAGGCCGCTGTAGCCCCAGGACTTCCTTACGACTACTTCTTGCATTGGGAACCCTTGAAAGAATTTGGAGAAATTAGTCTTTGGCAGTCTCTGTTTTTGTCAGGGCCAGTCAGCACATCTCCAGTAGCAGGCATCCAGGCAGATTCAGCTGTGCTCTTTTTGGAAGAATGTATGGTGGGGACATTTGGAGTCTACATGATGACAGTTGTCACTGCCTGTGGAAAGAGTTCGGCTGAGCCAGCTGCTAGGCCTCTTTGTATTATATTAATAGCAGGGCCATGGGGCCCACTGGAGTTGGAAGCCAAGGAGAAGGGGACAGCTGTGGCGGACATCACACCATGCTCTAGGCATGTGCTCCCATGTCACAGGCATACAGATGGCCTGCACCTTGTCCTGCCGCTCAAAACGCCCCTAGTCCCCTGCTTGACTTTTCCTTATAGGGGCAGGAATGTGGGGCCATCCATGGGGTGAAGGAGCCAAATTAAGATAGGCTGACTGAAAAAGGGTTGAATGGCCTGAGCTGTAGGTCAGCAAGCAAGTGTGCTGGGAGCCAGGCGTGTGGAGCCAAGCAAGCCAGCAGTGTCCAAGCAACTGGGAGTATTGGGTCCTATGTGGCAAGGGGAGGCAGGTGGTTTTAAATGTCATAGGCCAAATGGCAGCTCGGTTGGCAGCAGGCTAGAGCGATGGGATTTGGAGGACACTTTTGCTATGACTAGATATGGTCAGGAGAATGGGGCAGGATTAGGGCCTGGGCACTGCCTAACCTGTGAATAATGAATAAGCCGGAGGTACCAGGGACAGGTGAGGAACACTGAAGCAAGTGTGGGGTCTGAGGGCAGACAGAACAGGATGGAGTGGAGAGGGTAGAACTCTCAGGGATGGATGGGGTCAGGGAGAAAGCCTATGGATCGGGCCCTGTTCTGGTGTTAAGGAGAAATGAATGCTAAACTCAGTACCCTGTTTTCTTCTCTAGAACTCCAGACAAGAATCTGAGTGGGTTCAAAGTGAGACCAACCAAGCTCTGGGCCTCAGAAAGAACTACCAGCAATAGCCCTGGTGATAAATAGTATATTTGAACACCCACCATTGTAAGGCAGAGTTAGAGACCACCCCTCCCTCGTCCTAGTCACCTAAATACGTGATGTTATAGCCACACAGTTTTCTTCTTCCTTCCTTCCTTGGTCTGGATAATAATAGCTCATTGACTAGTGTTTAAATACTAGGTTTTTACCAAAATCCTCAGATATGTAACTTAAGACATAGAGGAACCTCTGGTCTTCTGGACCCGCCATCTGCCTGACCACAGGTGGCCATGGGCAAGGGGCGACTGCCCCCTGTTGGTCCACTGAGATGCCTGCTGTCACCCAAACCTGTCACTCATCTTGAAGAGGGAGCCTTTGCCTTTTCTGAAGTACAGCGCAGCTGTTCTTGTCCCAGGAATACTGGGCCCTTGGAGCTAGGCAGATACCTTGCTGCTGACTTGTTGGCTGGGTTCTCTTGACTTTGCTGTGTCATTGGTCTAGGAGGCCTGGGGCTTGGTCATTGACACAGACTGTGTCTGCAGAAGGGAAGGCCAGGGGACTAGAGAATGAGTTTCCATGGGGGCCTTGGATAGGCTTAATAAGCCAGCATGGCTGCCCAGTTCCCTCTTTGTGACTCCTTAGTAACCTGGCCTGTACCAGAGTTAGATAGTTACCATGGCAACATAACATCTGTGCTGTCTGCCCCTGGGCCTCCCTCCACCCCAGTTGGGTAGGGCCTGGCCTGGCATAGAAAAGCAGAGACATCATCAAGAAGGTCCTGGAATATGGAGCTTGCAAATGAGAAAGGGGTTGAGGCTGGGGAAAGGGACCCTTGGATGGGTATCAGGTGGCCCCAGGTTCAGCTCTGTTCTTATCCCTCCTGGGTTTCTTCCATTTCCTTGGCTGTACAGACTTCTCCCCAGCTCACTCTTGCTTCTTGGAAGGACTGATAGTGTGAAAAGAAGGCCGTATGCATGCTCCCATCTCCGGAAGCCTATGCTGCGTCCTGTGGTACCATGTCACCTGCTTACTGCTCTGCGCTCAGTCTTGGGGATTCAGAGGCCCTCATTCTTATTGACCTGTTTATAGTGTCTGCGGTGTGGAGTCCCAGGCCTCAGGGGGACTCTATGTTCATTTAATTACTGAGTCTTCATGGCAACTTAAAGAGGAAGCTTAACTACAAAAGAGGGCCACACAGGTAGGAAGGGACACAGCCTAGCTTCTAACTTAGGAAGTCAGTTCACTTCCAGAGCCAGTTTCTCAAACACTGCCCTCTGCTGCTTTTTGGAAATGGAGGGGCCTTTGAGGAGGCTCCAAGAGGAGCCTGGAGCTGAGGTGATGTCCTCTTCAGCTTGATCTTTTCTAAACTGAGAAATCACATCTTCAGACTCGAGTTCCCGTGGTTGCCTGGGAGAGGGCTCTGAAGAAAAGGGTTCTGGGAAGATGATTTGTCTAGGATCATGGACAAAGACCTTGGAAGATGACTTCCAAGCCTATTTGTTAATGACCTGTATTCCCTCATTAGAAAAGGACCCGTATTTCCAAAATCATGACTCTTATGTCTCACATGGTCAAACAGTAGCCCAAAGATTGCCCATAAATATGTCTTTTAATGGCTGTTTGGCCACTAGGTCAGACATTAAGTCGAAGAACTTTATATGGCCGTATCTGTTTTGTTTATGCTGTTAATACTCCCCGCCCCATTTTTCTCTTGTAAGCATCTTTGGAGCCTTCAGCCCTGTGCTCCCTTTGGATCCTTGCCACCGCGGTGTGTGATGTGGAGCCTCACAAAGGCCCCTTCGAAATTGGAAACCTGCTCCGCTTCAGTCTCTTGTATGTGGAGCAGAACCTTCAATCCTGAAGGGAAGGTTTGCTAAGCAGGAGAGCTCCGGGGAGCTCTGTCTCCTCAGGTAAGAATTGACTATCACCTTACCCAGACCCAGTACTTATGGGGTCTTCTGAGTAGAAAAATGGGTCTTGCTGGAACATAGACCCAGCATGGTGGCTCCTCAGAGCTGTGGAATCTACAGAGCTTCAAGAGACATCGACAGCATTGGGGCCCAGCAGAAGAGGCCCAGGCCTTTGGCAGAGGAGGGCTGTTCTTCCCTTGAATTTTATGACTGGGAGGAACTAGCCTTCTCTCTGCTTAGGAGTGGGCCAACAGCTTCCAGAATGTTCCTGGTTATACACAGAACTTATCCTCAGAGGTCCCTTTCACTGTCAAGGTAGCTGATTGAGGTAGAAAGTGCCAGAGACAGTTGTATCTGGAGGCCACTGAGAAGTGGGAGGGTCTTGTCACAGTACCTGGAGCTTCTCAGGCCACCATACTCGCATTTCAAAGCCATGACCTGAGTCCAGGCACCCCGGAGGGGGCTTGGCTAGCTGAGCAGGCTGTCCAAGGTTAGTGATCATTTTGGAACCTTGTCCAGAAAGAGACTGTCTGGGGTCTTGGGGTTGGAGAGACAGAGGGAGAACTGGGAGGGCCCAAGAGGGGATCTCCATCCCTATGCAAACAGAACAGCCTCGTGGAAGATAACTGGAAAGGACCTTTCTGGAGGGCCCCCCCTCAATCCTGTTGTGCTCGCTTCAGAGGGTTGGGTGGAGGCTCTCCTGAAGGTGTCTGCAGAGCATCACACTGTAAGTAGACCCTTGTTGTTCTGGGGATTGGCTGCTGCCCTTGACCTGGTCCTTCATGGCAACCTTTGTCAGGCTATTCCAGCCCCGGTCGGTACCCATGCTATGGCTGGGCCAAGGCACCAGAGACTTTGGCCCCACCCTGTCTGCTGTAGGCTGGCAATGTCTTGCTGTCCTGAGCTCGCACCACCTTGTGCAGGGTCTGGCTACCTCCTGCATCCTTGTCAGGGAGACGTCCCACCACTCCTGCTTCCTAGCACTAGGCCTTCCGTGATATGGTCGGTTTATTTTTCATTGATGTCCTTTTCTTTTCCACAGGACTAGGATTGAAGCCAGGTCCACACGTGAGTGCTCTACCACTGATCTACACTGGCAGCCCTACTTTTTATTTATTTTGAGACAAGATCTCACTGAGTTGCCCATACTGGCTTCAAACTTGGAACCCTCTTGCCTAAGACTCTTGAGTAATGGGTATTATAGGCATGAACCACTGTGCCCAGTCTGGAGGGTGTCTTGGTTGTTAACCACCTCTGTAAGAATGAGTTCTGGGGCCCAAACACCCAGCTTTATGAGTTGTTAATACCATGCCTCTCTGGTATATGGCACAGTATCTGCCTAATAAACTTGTGAAGAAAGATTGATGGATGTCACATTCTCTTCTGTTCTCTGCGCGCTGCTCAGCTCTGCTTCCTGGGCTTTAAAGAGCATGAGTGTGGTCCTTTTTACTCGTTTCGGTTCCTCTACTTCTAGCACAGACTTTGCTTGATTTTATTTCTTAATATCTGTTCCCATCTATTAGATTAGGCTCGAATGCAACAGGATAGGAGCATCTTTCACTGAGGATACAGTAGACCCTGATGGGATGGGTGGGTACCTGACAGAATGAATGGGTATGTGCATGGATGAATAGATGAGTACCTAACTGGATGGATGGATGGATGGATGGATGGATGGATGGATAGAGGATGGATGGAGAGAAATTGAAGATTCCGACACAAATAGGAAAGGTTAAGTTTTAAAGAGCAGATTGGCTTTGAAGCTCAGCTGGGGGATTATTTATCAGCTGTCTTGTGAGCAGAAGCTAGAGTAAGGCCCTCAGCCCTTAGAGTACATGAATTCTGTAAAATGTGGTCTCCTTTGGGAAGCCAGCGTCCAGAAGGAGGGCCCTGTTGTCCTCAGGCATGCTGGTACTGCTCGCCAGCATTTCTGCACACTTAGCTTCCTTCCTTTCTGTTGTTGCCTGTCCCTCATCTCCCCACCCTCATCCTCATCTGTAGCTATTGTCCTCACAGAGGCAAGGCTCTCTCCTGGGTGGTTTTTTTGGGGGGGGAGGGGGTTTGAGACAGGGTTTCTCTGTGGTTTTGGAGCCTGTCCTGGAACTAGCTCTTGTAGACCAGGCTGGTCTCGAACTCACAGAGATCCGCCTGCCTCTGCCTCCCGAGTGCTGGGATTAAAGGCGTGCGCCACCACCGCCCGGCTTCTCCTGGGTGTTTCTAGTGGGGAGAGGACCTTTCAGGAGCTGTGAATCACCATATGTATCAGGAAAGATTCTCTGGGAGAAAGAGAAATGGCTTCTGGCAGCTGCCCTCTTCCCAAGGATCCCCAGGGTCCTTATTCATGTGTATTTGTTGTTTCTCTGGCCACTACTCACATGAGGCTGGGCTGGGGTGCTGGGGACCCTCTTGGGCACCATGGGAACTGAAGCTACCTTCTTGGCTTTTGTTCACTAGATATCAGTAGCCATTGCCACTACCCAGTCATGGCAACCAGAAACTTTAGATCTTATCCCAGAGCCTACTGGGGACAAGTGACTCCAGAGGAAGAACATGGGCTTTATTAGCTGCACAGATTTTTACCTTAATTTACTTACAAATTAATTCAAAGTAAACAAGTTGAAATACACCAAACATCTGGGTCGTCTCCACTTCAACCGCATCAAACTGTCCTGCAGCCTGGGACAGGTAGTGCTTGTGACCTGGCCAGGGTCCCTGAGGTGTGAGGGTGTTCACCTTCTTTCAGAGATAGAGGAATAGAGAATGACTCACTGGGGGTGCATTTGCTCCTGGAACCAACCTCCCACCAGAGGAAATGGGTGATTCTTACTAAGACTAGATGAACCTTGAGTGTGTGTGTATGTAGCAGTCAGCAGTGCAACATGGACTGACCTCATTGTGGACCTTCAGCGCAGTCTAATATGATAACTGTCTTAGGGTTTCTGTTGCTGTGAAGAGACACCATGACCACGCCTGCTCTTGTGAGGGAAAACATTTAATTGGGGTGGCTTAACAGTTTGGACGTTTAGTCCATTATCAGCATTGGTGGTGTGCAGATGTGCTGGAGAAGGAGCTGTGTCTTGATCCTGCAGGCAATAGGAAGTGAACTGACACTGGGGTGTGGCTGGAACATATATGAAACCTCAAAGCCTGCCCCCCTGTGACGTACTTCCTCCAAACAAGGCCACACCTACTAAATAGCACCACTCCCTGTAATCTTATGGGGACCAATTACATTCAGACTACCACATAACTCAACATTCAAATGTCTGAAAGCTGCTGAGATACCCCCAATGGTAGACATGACTTTGGTGCAAGCCTGGCTCCATGGGTTCCACCCTAGGACCTGTATAGAAGGAACCAATTCCATAAACTTGTACTTCGACGTCCACAGACACAATAACTTTAAAAATTGTGTTAAACTGTCCATGAGTCATTAAGGGACACAGATCATTGAATAGGTAACTCAGAGGAATTTATGTTGGTGCCATCCACTGCAGACAGCAGCTAAATGACTGACTAATGAAAGACTTAGGGTCAATGAGCCTTGAGCCGGCGAGGATACACCTTTGTGAGACAGTACAGACTGGCATTTCTGGGGATCCCTTGTATACCGCATGTACCCTGGGTCAATTCAACATGAAGAGACACTGCATCACCCCCCAAATGACCAAAAAACAAATGTCAGACAACCAAAATTGAAGAGCATCCTACAAAAGACTCAAAGCAGTTAACCCAAATTGAGAGACATCCTACAAAGAACTCAAACAGCCGAACCACAGAAAGCAAGGAATCTGGACAGAACCAAGTCAAGTGTCTCTGGGTTCGGGATGGAACAGGGAGGGGTGTCAGATGAAGTGAGCCAATGGGGCACTGAGCTGCCATCCTCCAGCTGCGCACCTAGCAAAATGAAAGGATGGAACTGGAAGGCCATGGGAGCTCTGGGCCTTCCTTCCAGTGTGTCTGTAAATCTAAAAGTTTTAAATCAGAATCATTTACAACCTATGTCTCCACAAACGCAAAATGACAACCCAGCCGTCCAGAGCAGAGTTAGACAGGCCAGCCAAATGGGTGTCACTCCCTCCAAATGAGATGGGCACCATAGAGCATAATAAATTGGCCCCATGTTGGTTGTCTGTAAACCCAGAAGCTTCCTGATCATCTGGGCCCACCTGGCAGAGCCCATCCCATCCAAGGGCTACGGCCTGAGCCTCACCATTGGCAGCTTTGAGGAAAACCTAGAGCGCTTGGCAGAAGGAACTCAGAGGAGGCCCTGTTTGCCCAAAACACCGCCCTACGCTCCCCCGAAATTCTTCACTTTCTTGAAAGGCAGGATGTTCTTGTAATTTGAGGTGATTCTGGGCTGATGCCACCCTCTGAGAAAGCAAATGCACCCGAGTACCAGGCATTGGCACCGTCCTGCAAATGAAGCCATCTGTGCCCTGTGCCTTCACACCTAGAGTGCATCTGTGCCACAGGTCAGCCAAAGGGGAGGAGGCCCTCAGCCTGTCACCAAGGCGCAGAGGGTTCAAAGAGGGGAGAGCACTGGGGGGAGGTAGCATCTACCTCAGCTTTGCTAGAGAAAGCTCCTTCAGGACAGGGACCTAGGAAGACTGGAGGAGGCAGAGAGAAGCCAGGGTCACAGTGGCATCCCTATTCCCATGTGATGAGTCACTCTACTCTCTACACCTCTGGGGGCAAACAGCCCCAAGGACTTATGTCAGCCATTGCTGGTCCTGTTCTGGGCCCCCAAAAGTAGGTCCTATTGTGGGGTTTAAACCCTGAGAGTCCCGGCAGAGTGAGTAGGAGCATCTTACAAGAAGTGCCTTAGGGGCAGGAAGTGGACCTTGAAAGACAGTCTTGACCGCCCTACAGAGCTATCTGCCTCACCCAGGGATGAGGGTGAGACCATGGCATGTTTCTCGAGTGTCAAGGGACATGACTCAGTCTACAATCTGGAAGATTCTTTGTAGGCTGCTTATTGAAGCCAAAGTCAAAGTCAGGAGATGCAGCAGGGGCTGGTGCAATTGTCCTGAGGAGGTGGCAATACAGCCATGGAGGAGGGGACAGGGAGCAAGTAGAGTGAGGCCCACAGCTTTGGTGGCTGAGCCCTGTAGCTGAGGGCTCTGGGAGGCACAGAGGAAGAACCTGCCATCTTCTAGTTGTGATGTGCTGTCTACTTGCTAAGTAGTCTCCAAGATGGAGACCCTTCCAAGGTAACATGGACAAATGATGTCCTAGGGCCACGGAGAAGGGGTCAGGCCCCCAGCATTCTCTCTGATCTCCATCCTGTGTCAACTCCCAACCTGGATTCTGCCATCCTCAGCTGTAGCTCCCACCACAGCAGCCTGACGCCCTTTCTGCATGGGTGGCTCACTAAAGCGAATGCTCTTTTGATTTTTACTATAAATTACATCTCACATAATTTCTCCATTATGGCTCAGGATGTTCCCTGGAAAGGGATGGAGTGGGTGCCATGCTCACTGGAGCAGGGTACTGATTCGTGGCTTCTTTCCCACACTGACTGGCTGGCAGCAAAGTAGCTGCTGGGCCATCAGGCAGGTGGTTGAATGGGTGAATCTCCCAAATCCACTAATAGATGTTCCTCTCAGTCCCTAAGGGAGGAAGGAGTTGAGTGTGCTCCAGGTGAGTGAGTGTGGAGTTGAGTGTTTTCCAGGTGAGTGTGGAGTTGAGTGTGCTCCAAAGACTGTAAAGTTTAGAAAAGAAGTCACATTTTAGGATTGAAAACATGCCCCCTTCCTCCAAAATCTACTGATGATTCTGGGCAGTCATGTGAGGCGGTCTCAGTACAACTGTGAGCAAATCTAGGGCCCCAGTCCTCCGGGGGCTCCCAGTCTGATGGAGAGATGAAGGTTGGCCAGAGAATCACAGAAGTATAGAGTCAACAATGGAGACCTGGCCCCGGTGAAGACCCTTAAGAGCCCCAGGCAGCTAGGACAGAAGGAAAGTGAGGAGCAAGGGTAGAAGACAGGCCTTTCAGGCTTGCTGACCCCTGGGGAGTGTGGTACCAGGGGGATGCTGACGTCACTAGGGCGTCATTATGCTATGGACAAGGAAACAGGGGTCAGGGAGAGCAATGGCCTGCTGAGGTCATTCTCCAGGTTCGCCCTCAGGGACCAGGGAAGGAATGGTTTCTTTCCATGGGAACCTGATACACACACACAGAAAAAACTGGTGTTAGGTCAGGAGGCCTCCGGGAGCCACCCAAGGGTGCAGTGGAGTATGTGTGGAAATAGAGGCAGGCTGGGAAGGGGGCCAGAAAGACAAGCTTCCAGGG